GGGTCAATTCTGGCCGGTGAGAGGCAGGGACCCAGGCCGTAGGCCAAGTTTTGGGCTAAAATTCTGGGGGAGGGGCAACAGTCAAAGGTCAGGGACTGGAAGCATGGCTGGTGTATTAGAAACTAGACGGGTGGCAGGGCTTGGAAGCTGGACCTAAAGGCTGGCCCTCGGTGGGGCATGGCATAGAGGCAAGACCTCGGGATACAGGGCATGTAAGTTGGATATGGGATAGATAGGGTCCAAAGGCTGGACCTGGGGTGGCTGGGCAGGGTGGCTGGTCTCAGTGCTGACACTGGTGGTGGGTGGTCTGCTGCAGATTTCTGAAGAAGAATAGCCACCAATCACTGCTGCCCATATGCTGGAGGCTGCTGCATGAGGCCAAGAAGATCAGCCACCAGCTGAGCCTGGCACTGAACATAGCCAGCATGATCATCATCGCTCTCATATCTCTGGGCCAGCCCTGGATCCACTTTCAGGTGCCACTGAGGCCCCCTGGGGACCCTGCTGGCTCTCTGACCATCCCCATCAGCACCATCTTCTTTGTGCAGTGCCCCGACATCTCCTGCCTGCATGAGTACGACCAGAACGCTTGTAAGGCCTGCCCTGTCCTCACCACTCCTGGGAATCATCTCTCCACTTTATCCCAGGGACCCCTTCCCCTGTTACAAAATGGTTTGTCCCTTCTCTGGAATGGTCTTCACAGGCCCTGGATGGTCCTCACTACCCACCCCACTTCTCACTGCCCAAGAACCTGTCTTCACCAACCCAGAGGTATATCCTCAGAGCTGGAGGTATCGCCCTCAATATCCCTTCCCTAGAGCCCAATTTCAATCTTCTTAAAATGAGAATAAATAATCTGCAAGAGAGGGGATTTGAGAATGCTCCAAGCCTAACTGGTGACCCTCTCCCCCATGCTCAGAGCCTGATGACCAGTTTTGGTATTTCTGATTCTCTTCCTTCCCCAGACTTGCTGGACCTTTCCTGGACCTTCCTCCTCTTCTCCAGCATCGCCAGCATCTGCCTCTTCATGGCTCTAATAAGCATCATCTTCTTTACTAGCTCCAACCTGCCCATGCTGGACTTTTTCCTCTTCATCACTAGCATCCTAGCAGGCACGGCACTAAGATCCTTCTCCAGAGAACCAAGGCGAGGAGTACCTCACCCAGTGCCAATCATGAAACCCAACCTCATCCCCACCACACTCCAATCCCACCCCATCCTCACCTTCATTTTCAATCCCAATCCTGTCTCCTTCCAAATCTCCCATCCCAATAAAAAATATTGACCTCCAACCCAACCCCATCTCCAGCCCCAATACCAGCCTCAACTTCAACTGCCATCTCTATCACCAGCAAATCTCAAATTCATCCACATCCCCTTCCCTGATATCTATCCTCATCCCTTTCCCATCCCAATTCTATCTTCTTTCCAATCTCCAAACCATCCCTATTACCATCTCCAACCTCTTCACAAATCTCAGCACCCAACTTAATCCCATGCTTAATCATTCTCACCATTCGTTTCAAATTCAACCTAATCCTATCACTTATGAACTTCAACCTCAAACTCAACCCCAGCTCATCTCCAGCCTCAACCCAGACCACAATTGCAAACCCATCCCTGCCACCTGTGAACCTCTCTTAAACTCAACCCAACCTATTCCCAATGCCATCCTCATACCTATATCTGATCCATCCCCATCTCCATCCCCAACATCAGCCTCAACCTCAACCTCCATCCTTATCACTCAAACTTCAATCTCTACCCAATACCCAACCCCATCCCAAATCCTATTCCACCACTACCACCAGGTCTGTGATTTTGTTCAAACTATTTCATCTTTCCAAGCCACGGTTTTCTCATCTGTAGAATGGGGATAAAATTTCCTACCATGTGGAGATGTAGTGAATATTTAATTAGAAAACATTGATACTTGATGGTAGCTATTTAACTTTGCACAGGTCTTTACCATAATAATCCTCCCACTCCCACCCAAATAACTCAAAATTGATATTCCAATTAGAAGAGTTTAATTTTCCATTCGCATGGCAAATCATACTTTTAAAAGGGTAGATTTTAATTTGGAAATGAGTGGTAATATGTCCCTGTCTTTTGTAGTAATTGATTGCAACTTTCAGTTGCAACAGGAACACATACTTGGAAAGTGATGGTTAGGCCAAGGGTAGAGAACACTCAACTTCCTGTTTTCTTGTTAATAACTGGTATTTATCGAGTTTGTCTAATAGCTCTCCCTAATTGTTTAAACATAAGATACAAAGTGTAGAAAACATCTTGGTTTTAAACCATCTAAAATGAGACATTTTTCTATATGAAAAAAATCATTTCTGTCCATTCCCCCTTTTAATTAAACAGAATACACTTCCTATATTATTTTTCAATAACACACAAAAAAATCACACTAGCTGTAATTTGCACTCCACTATCTGAAAAACGATCTTTTTCCTTTCGCAAATTATCTTTAATTCATGTCATCTCAGAATATACAGAATGGCTAGGTTCTTTGTCCATTGCTTTAGAAGCCCAAAACCAAAGACTCAATATAATGATAATAATGAATCCTAATCCCTGAGGTCTTACTGTGATGCCAGGAAATGTGCAATCTCAATAACCTCTCATGACAGCCCAAGGAGATGGTTCCTGTGATTTTATGCCCACACTACAGATGAGGGAACTGAGGCTCAGAGAGATGGAGTGGCTGCCCTAGGGTTAGAGGCAAAGGCAGGACAAAAGCCCTGCTCTGTTGTCCCCAAAGCCTATGGTTTTAGACACTATCGTTGACTGGTTGAAGACCAAGACTAGCTCTTTAAATGTCCTCTAGCATGACATTGTCAGAAGCCCATTTTCCTGCTTGTGAGTAGAGGTAGAAGGCCTGGGAGGTTAAAGAAAGTGAGGAAATAATGAGCAAGAGTCAGGCAGCCGTACAACTATGGGCAGGGGTCCTTACACACCTGATTACCAGCCTTGTAATATCTGTGCTTACGCAGGGACCAGCATCATATTGGGTATCCTGTTCTACCTGCTGCAGGCCCAACAGTACCTGCAGGAAGGAATGACCTACACCCTGGGGAGCAGCTTCTACCTGGCATGGACTGGTGTCTTCTTCTTCCTGATGACTGGTCTGGGCTGGGATGGGATTGGGTGTGGGCATGGGTTCAGGGATGCAGATAGGTATTGTGTGGGATGGGGATGGGGTTGTAGATAGGGCTAGGTAGGATGGGATTGAGGTGGGAGACAGGGTTGGGGTTGCACATGGTGCTGGGATGTGGGGATGGGGTTGGGCTTGAGTTTGGAAATGGGTTGAGGACAGTGTAGGGGACGAAGTTGAGTTTGGGATTAGGCATGGGTTTGGGGATAGGTTAAGGGATGGAATGGAATTGGGGACGGAGTTGGACACAGTGAAAGGCATGTGGTTGGAGTTGGGGACAGGACTGGCATCTGGATTGGGCTGGTGAACTCTGAATCTCAACCCCTCTACCTTCTCCCTCTCCCCAGGTTTCTTGTCCTATCTGAATTACGTGAATTTCTGGTCCATTCTGGCAAACCACGCTGTCTGGACTTAGGACATGGGAATGACCCCACTGCTGGCCTGCTGCCATGGCTCTTTGTCAAGCACGCCAAAAACCTGATCTCTAGCTCCCACCAAGAGTCTTGTTCTTTTTCGCTCCTCTCTGACCCCCCTCAATCCAGATTAATAATCTGTATTTTTAAGTGATCTGTATTTTCCGCCTAAAATATTCTTTTATTTAGCTCAGTACTTTGGAAGCATTCTGTGTAACAGCCATCCCTCTCTGGGCGTGCTTGGGCCCTCTGGGGTAGAGAGATAGGTAAGTGAAGGGACTCAGAGGTAAGGGACTCAAGGTACAAGGTCAGCAAAAAGGCTGGACCAATGGTTCCTGGCACACAGATGGTGCTCAATGTTTGTTGAGTAGCTGATTCTCCCCAAGTCCAATGGGCTTCATCCTTTACTTTCGTGATCCCCAATTATTTACCCGTCCTGAGGCAAATTCTCCCTGCACCCACACTTCACCCTCTGCCCTTACCGGCAGCTCCTACGCTACCCCATCTTTCTTTTCCCTGAAGTCCCTGAGCACAAGTCTTTTCTATCTAGCAGCCTTTTAAAGATGGTTGGGGCTAGCGGAGAGTCATTTACTGAACAGGAGACAGGGTTGAAACCCAAGTACAAAGTCATATCATTGCCCAGATCCCCCTGCAGGGGCTTAGCCTGGGGCTCCCATCCACTTCCCTTGCACATGGTTAAGCTGACAGGTTTTGAGTGTAGTCTCTGCCACACTAGCTCTGTGAGCCACGGCAAGGTGGTGAACCCATCTGCATCTCAGTTTCCTCATCTGTAAAATAGGGCTAATGGTAATTCTTTCATCTGGATAGAATTTAACATAATGACTGGCCCATAGTATGTGCTCTTTCAGTGTTTACATTGAAATAATCCTCCCTGTTGTGTCCTGCAAAAGGTTCCCAAATCTGTTCATTTTTCTTCTTTTTTTTTTTTTTTTTTTTTTTTTTTTTTTTCTTGCAGCTGGCCATTATGGGGATCCAAACCCTTGACCTTGGTGTTATAACACTGTGCTCTAACCAACTGAGCTAACCAGCCAGCCTGTTCATTTTTAAACACAGATGGAGCTGCAACTATGTGCCAGACACTGGATCTGAAGCAGTGATCACACTAGACATAAAGTCTTATCCTTGTGGAATTGACATTTCAGCAGGGAAGCAAAAAATATGTTCATAAACAAATAGTTAGATAATGTTAGGAGATAAGTGCTATGGAAGAATAATAAAGGAGGGCAAGAGGGAGAAGTCCTGACTGTTACATAGAGTGGAGCAAGGGGCTGGGGGCACTCTATGCCAAGATGACATCTGAGCAGAGACATGACAAGGGAAGAAGAGAGCCACGTGGATTGAGGAAAAGAGTTCCAGGCAGAGAGGACAGTAAGTGCAAAGGTCCTGAAGTAGAAACTTACTTGGCATTTTCCAGGGACACCAGGGAAGCCAAGGGAGAGAGAGGAAGGAGATAAGGAAAGACAGGGAACAGAAAAGCCAAATCACTAGGAGCCACAGTGGGCCACAGTGAGGACTTTTTACTCTGGAGTGAGTCAGAAGCCAATGACGGAAATGTCTCTTATTAAGAGAGGAATTTAGGTCTCTTCCTTATACTTCAAACCATGGAGGGAGTCTTCTCACTAGAAGGAAGAAAACAACCCAAATGACCGGGGGTGGGGGGTGGGAATCGATTTACGCGACGGAATAATTTTTCAATGTTTAATGAAATAATGCTACATGTAGTGATGTGGGGAGACTACTTATAAAACAGATTGGAGTGAAAAGGTTTTCCTTCCCCGTGTGTGCGCGCGCGCGCACCTGTGGCCATAAAGTAAAAAGTCCACACCAAATTGCTGACAGCGGCAACCTCTGGTGAATGGGTTTGGAGGAGAAACGTTTCAATTCTTATCTTTGAAAAAACCTTTTACAATCACGTTAGTTGAAAGCCACTCCTCGGATCTCCAACCCTACCAAGGAACCAAGGACCCAAGCCTCAGACCATCTAAACCGGTGAAGAGCCCCAAACACAGGCCTCCCTCAACACCAGGGTCCGGGCCCCCAGCCCCGACTTCTCCCAAGCAGAGGAATCCTGACCCCCGTCCTCCTCCCTCCCGCCCCTGCGACCCTTGCAGGCCCCGCCTCTAGTCCCACGCCAAGTGAGCTCCTCCGGGACAGGTCGCTGTCAGTCCCCACGCGCGCCCGCCCCGCCCTGCGGCTGGGACCTCGCGTGGGGTCCGGCCTCCCGGCGTGGGCCGCGCCCCTGCATCCCGATCCGCGCCCCTGCGGCGACGGCGACTCCACTTGCTTCCCCCTCTGGCCCCGCCCACCCTTGGGTCCTTTCTCTTCGCGGCGCCGTGCGGTGTTGTCCTCAGCATGGCCTGATGCTCGTGACAGGACAGCCGTTCCCGATGCGTCCTGGCTCTTTTTGTCCGCCCCGGACACGGCGTCTCCTCCCCTGCTGAGGAAGGTTCAGGGAGGATCGGGTATTGCTCCCTTTATTTCCCACACAGGCTCGCGCCCTGGAGGTTCCGGGGCGGGGCCCGGGCTGGCGCGGGGGGCGGGGCCTGGGCTGGCGC